CCCCCCCCCTTGCAAAATAATCATATATGAATGGACAGTACTCTAAAACCTGAAACCTGCAAAACTAACGGAACTGGAAACTATACACAGACCTCACCCTTGCTAAGAGGCCTATAGAAGCAAGGGCCGGCAGAGGTCTCACCCTCGCTAAGGTCGCTATAGACTCGCTAAGAGGTCTACGGCTAGGGACGCCGGAACGATAAAAAGGCAAAGGGGGGCAAACGCACACCAAAGGGGCACCTCTATAGATCCCGGTGAAGATAAAAAAAAACCCTACAATAACGTGTTGACTTGCCAATGAAAGCAAACGCACTTAATCAGGTCACAGTCAAGATCACACCTCATGATTTTGCCCAAAAAGCATCACTGGAAATGTGATTTATCAGGTAGTATTTTACAACTCAAAGGGCACTTCTGCCCCCATTGCCCCTCCTAGCAAAAGGCAAGAGGGGCAGCTGCCCCTCCTGCCCCCCCCCCCCAGTTCCGGCGTCCCTGGGTCTACCGGAAGCAAGGCAAGCCTGGCAAGGTCTACTCAGTGGTTCTGAGTGGTATAAACCAACACCATTCGGTAATGCTACATTGTACGATTGTCATGAACAGTTTGAGTCTTTAGAAAGTACTAGTTTAAGAAGATTAAGAAGAAGATCATGCATTTTGTTCTTTTTCAATTGTACTCTTTTAAAGTTTTATTATTCATTTGTGTCATTGTGCCTACACTAGGTAGTTTAATAATAGCCAAAAGAAAATTATAATAAAAAATTAATCAGTTTCAGTAAACATTTAAAACCATTTACCTGCCTCGTCCCCAGGCGCTAATTAAAAAATTTGCGAATCACTATATGAAAGGTTTACATGAAGTAGTGCGTCACATTATTGGCGCGCGCAAAGGACAGTGGGATATCAGCGTTCTGGTTAGCGCCTGGCCGATCTTGTATAATAGCTGTCGAACATACAAGTAAACAACAGATCTAAATATAAATCCCTTCATGTATATCACCAGAAAGAAAGAAATTCAATCAATTTTCGATGCCTCAAGCCCATAACTCCCTGCGCTTGTTCGTCATGATGCACTACTTCATGTAAACCTTTCATATAGTGACTCGCATGATTTTTTTATTAGCGCCTGGGGACGAGGCAGACCATTTACACAGACCTGCTAAGTTCGGAAGATAAGAATGCGTGACCAGGGCCGTTACGAGGACTTTGTCTTGGGGGGGGGGGAGGTTGAATTTACTGCCTGAATTGTTTCAATATTCACCTGATTTTGCGACGCCCGCGAGGCGCTATCATGGTTGGCGCGGAGCAAAAAAAAATTGAAAATTTGAATTCTCTAGACCGTCGAATAGCATTTTTAGAGAGTCTTTCCTACCCAAGATTTCAATGTTTTACTACTGCCTAACAATGAAGATAAGTAAAATACTACTGATCAATATGACAGTGTTTCTTACAGTTTAATGTGACTAGGAAAATTGAGAAAATTTTGGAAATTTGGAGTCTCCAGATCGTCAGAAAGCGTATTTGGCCATGTACCCCCGGGCTACGGTGCGGAACTCTAGTTCTACGCGTTTGCACACACGTTGTCAATGAGTTTAGTTATTGTACGAAAAGTGGGATAGCGTCATATAATGATAAAAATGCGTAACTTTAAAATCATTTTAGTTATGCATGCGGGACAGCGGGAATAAAAGCAGAATGCGTAACTTTCACGCGAAATGCGGGAACCTTGGCAGTTCTGTTTACAGATATTGCTAAAGAGCAAAGATATGTAATCATGAAATCATTCACCACTTGTTTGAAGAGGGTCCTGAAGGGGTAAAATGGGAACTGGGATTGATCTATTTTTAGACTGGGAAAATGGGATTTGGGTTGCTGGGACTGGGATTTGGCCACTGGGAATGGGAAATGAAGTCCTCAAAAATGGGAATGGGATTGAGGTAATGCGAGTCGATTCCCAATTTTTCTACGTTTTAAGTATTTTAAAATACAATTTTGACCCGTTTTTGGTGTCTTTGGTCATGATTTTTGTTGTTAACTATATTATTCACAGCACTACCTGCGAACAGGTATACTCTGATTCTGGGTTTTCTGATTATGCGTGTCTCAGAATGCTGCAAATGCCATTTCCGGGATTCAAATTTAAAAATTTTCTGTGCCTTCGGCACAACCCCTCCCCCAAATTTCATAAAGTGTGCCTACTTGCCCACACGATGGCATAAAAGTCTTCAAACTGTTTATCGGACCGATAAAATAAAGGGTTTTTTATTGACTGGGATTTCAATAACTCGGACTGGGATTTCTAATAAAAATCCAACTGGGACTGGGATTTTGCCAAAATTCCAGGTGGGAAATGATTAGACCCCTTCCGGACCCTCTTTGAAGTTTTGAGCTGTTTCTGGGTGAAATTGTTTCCCAATGTTAGTAATTTTGAGGTGTATCGTTTGGTCATTAATTGCTACAATGCCATTTCCGGAGCGGAAGTGGATCTGTGATATAGAAAAATATGGCGACTGCTGCATCGCAAGGAAGCTCGCGTTTTGCAGGAATAAAGAAGAAATCTATCAGACCAGAGTTGGACGCTGATGGTAGAGTTAAACAGGTAAAACATTTCTTTTATATAGACGTCTTATATTGTGTATTTGTCATTTTTTGATGCTTAAATCATGTGATTAACCATGTTACTCATGTGAACTACTGAACTTTATATTAAAAGTTTAAAATAGTTTAAAATAGGTCTTCGGAAATACAATTGATCAATCGATAACAATCGAAATCAGTTAGTCAATTGTTATCGATTGTCACCGATAACCATTCCATAGTCACTAAAAATGGGCCAAATTCATCTTGAAATTATCAATAGAGCCTGTTTTCGACATACTGATACATGAAAAAAATAAATTAAATAATATTTAATTTAGTCATGCTTATTGACTAAATTAAATTACATTTTTATGAATTATAAATTACTGGTCTATTTTATATCATCGTTGTAACGTGCATGTATATATATGTATATGTATATATATATATATATATATATATATATATATATATATATATATATATATATATATATATATATATATATATATATATCTCTATATATATATATATATCTCTATATATATATATATATATATCTTTATATATATATATATATATATCTATATATATATATATATATATATATATATATATATATATATATATATATATATATATATATATATATATATATATATATATATATAT